TGGCCCGACACCCAAGGGAGATGGAAAACGACACATTGGGAGTCGGGGCCGACGCATAACGCTGGCGCGCCGGCAGCACGCTGGCAAGTAGCCAAGCAACTCCGAAATTTTTTGCTGGGTAGTAACAGTGAGTAATTTTTGGTGTTCGTATTCTACAGTGAGACGTTGAGAGCCCCATGTGCGGACACCTTGACCTGAGGACAATTCAACATAAAGACACCTATTTTCCCATAAAAAAATAATATAAAAAAGCCCAGACATGAGGACACTGACTCACCATTGGAACATTTTGTGATAAAATTGCAAATACATTTCAGGCCAAATTACACGAAACAGATATTTCCAACCCCAACATTCATGTAAGGAAAGTTCTTGGGCATTTTTCTCACCAATTTACCATCCATTTAGTTAATTTAAAAAAATTTACCTCTGCCTGCAGAGACTCCAGAGAGGGACTTCCTTCTCTATTTTTCATTTGAATACAGTATTATTTTTACAGAGAATGCCAACATTTCTATGTATTGTACAGAGGTATCAGTATTCAATTCCCCAAATGTCCATATTCTGTTGAAATATATTGATTGAACCAGTTTAAATTTGCAGACAATTTTTATTTTCATGGAATTATGGTGAGTATCTTGTACAAAGAACACCAATTAAAAATGATATAATGTAAGTCTAGGGGAAAATGAAACGTGACTTAAACACACTCGATGCACCAATTACATCCACATCTTGGGGTCTCACTATAGTGAGGTTGAAAATCAAAATGTGCTCTGCCAAAGTATTGGAAAGCATTATGAAAAGTGACACGTTGTGCCAAAGTGAATGAAACTTTGTACCACTGTCAAAAATTATGTTCCAATACAGGAGGGAACATCTTTATAATTTGTTTATTACATAAACAAACCAAATAAAATCGTACTGAGCTTTGCATTTTTGTTGGATGATTTTTTTTTGTGAAAAATCCTGAGAAAACGTGGTTCTGAACGAACAATTTAAAGCAATTTGTGGAGAATACGAATTTTTGAAATGCATGCAAGAAATATTTTTCGAAGTGATTCTTAAATCTCTTCCAAAATTCGTTTCCTATGTATAACGAAAAATCAGTGCGGTCGACCTGAAATAATTCCCACTTGATTTCTGGCATTCAAATTTCATTAGTTACTTCTTCAACTCCAGCAGGTATCATTTGTGAGAAAAGTTCGAATTTTTTTCTATTTTCGGGTGATTGCTTCATCATCATCTCGGTCAGACTCTCGTTTCTAGGTCGAAACTAGCTTCGAACTGCTACTGCTTTCAAACCCAGAAGGCGTGACAACTATACAGTGAAAAAATTGAGTTTCTTGTGCTCTTTACACCGCAAAAAGTGTCGCCATACGGTAACATTATCGTCATCTTACTTCAAGTTCGTCACTTGCACTGTGGTTGCTACTTTTGTGCACCACGTCAGTCCCAGTTCGTAAAGGAGCAAGAAAGGGTGCGTGCAAAAGAGACGAACTTAGAAAAATAGAGAAATAAAAACCTGTCAGAAACTCTAACTGACTCATCTGTTTTTCGTTAGAACCGCTCTATTACTAGTGGAAAAAAAATAGCGGAGAAAATTTGGAAATGCAGTATTCAACGAATATCGAGCGTAGTCCCTCCAATTTGGCATTTTCCGATGAACCTCCGGTCATCCAATATCCTCATCTAAGAAATTCATTATTTTAATTATCGCTGCAACGCGCAATAAACGGAAATTATTTCTCGATTATTGAACCAGCAGAACAATAATTTAAGGTCAACATACAGTATGTTGTTACACTTGAGAGACGATTGAAAGTAAAAATGTCACGGAATTTCCGCAGAATTCCTCGAATTTCCACTTCCACGCAGTGAAATAGTTGAAATAATGTTTGCAATGCTCATTTGATGAACAGCCGAATTGAAAATTCATTTTTAGCTTTCTTTTGAAATTATTTATTACAAGACGCTTATTTATTTTTAAATTGGCAGACTTCCTGTGGTTTTTGATGCAAGAGCGGGTGAAAAAGCTTTCAGAAACACCGCAAAAATTGGATTCCATTTATATACGTTTCGAACTTACCGCAGTCCCTTCAATTAATCGTTCAGATCAGCAGAAACCAAACATATTGGAATCGAAAAAGAGGAGAAAATGCGTAAAAATATAATACTGTCTTCGTCAAATTTGAAATTCCATCATCAAAGTCTGCATTTCACGTCCCCGTGTTCACAAGCAAAATAGCATCGTCCATTTATTCAGGACTTCGAATTCTTTTTGTGCCATGTTTGTCAACTTTATTCAAGCGGTGGGTTACTTTAGCAGATTCCCGCTTATGTGCAAATAATATACAGTACAGTACAGAAATTTTGAGCTTCGCATATCAAGCCTTTTTTAATTATAAAAAGGTACTGTATACCATAAGTAAAACTGTCGGAATCGCTCAGAAAAGTACGTTTCTCGAGATATAAATTTTCAAAAGAATAATGGATCTCGGTCGGGGGAAAATTATTCCGAAATCCCGTCGTTTTCCCCCCTTAGAAACCTCAGTGAACATTATATGCGTGAGAAATGTCTCGAGCTTTCTCTATATAAATATCCCACGCAACTGGACTTCGTCGCGATCATCAATCAAAGTGCCGACTTTTATCATTCCCGCTGTAAAACGTTTACGCAATATCATGAAATGATGTAAAAGAAACAGCTATATATACATANGCTTTCTCTATATAAATATCCCACGCAACTGGACTTCGTCGCGATCATCAATCAAAGTGCCGACTTTTATCATTCCCGCTGTAAAACGTTTACGCAATATCATGAAATGATGTAAAAGAAACAGCTATATATACATAGGAACCTTGAACAAGACGATTCATTTACGAGACGGACTCGTTGTTCATCAGGCGCGGAAAATACCGAAAAACGGCGGGAGAATCTTTGAAAAAAAAACACACACACACAAAAATTCGGGAATTGCTCATATTTTATTTGAATTGCACCGACGCCGGGAATTTACCTTTAATATCGCAATATGAAATGGCAATTAAGCTGTGAAAACCGTTGTTCCGAATCGTTGATCCTTTCCAATAAAACATATTCCCGTATTGTTCGTGAGAGAGGATGAAATACTGTATCATAATGACGACACAAACCAAGTACTATAGCGTACTTCGATTACGCTTATATGAACGCGGATTTCTGATGAAACTCATGAAAGCACAATTTTTTTATTGACCAATAAAATGTAACTTTCAATTAGTAAACAATATTCCAGAGCCAAATAACTGAAATTTTAACATCGACTATATAAATGCTCCTTCAGAATCACTTTTTCAGTCGCAACAGTGATTCTGAAACATGGGAAAACCCATCGCAACCCTCGTAGTGAAGTTCCTTTTCAAAAAGTATACATTTGAAAGCTTGGATGAACAATTGAAATTGCTTTACATTCGAAGGGATATTTTAAAATTGGATGGGCGAACGAATTGAATCATTATCCCAGCAGAGAACACGGAACCAAGCGCGGAAGCAATTGAATCAACGGATCAATTTTTCATGCCAAATATTGAAACACAGTATCCAATAGTTCGCAGTCGATGGACTGTAAATGTATAAAATGTTATTCAAGTTTGTTTGCAATTTTGTATTAGTTTTCACTTCAAAAACTCAAGAATAACCTCCCTCTTTCGATGTGATCATTTTCGCAAAGGAATCGAACCCCAACATGCCATCGACTGTTTTTTTCGCGAATTATTTCGAAATTTTGAATTTAGTTCAGAAATGATTAGTCAAGCTATACTCCCAAAGATATCAACATTAATTTCAATTTGACGTATAAAAAATTGCTTTGTTGAAAAAAATCGCCATGAACGCGTGGAGAAAAACTCTAAGACGAAAAACTTATATAGAAACTCACGAATCTTGATAAACGTCATTAAAAATTATATTATCACCAGTCACCTTCACACAATACGAATGATTTCAACAATGAGAGAAACACTTTGAGCATGAAAAATAGCAGTCAAGACACGCAAGAATTTCGCAATTCTTCACAACAACAAGGACGAATTTGAACGAACCCTCAGGAGATCAGCCAAAGTCTCAACCCTGGCTCTCGGCAAATATGCTCCAAATGGTAAAGAGTCTGCAAATGTAGATAAAATGCGAAGTTCAATGAAAAAATATGTTTTCTGACTGCATATAAGAAATTTTAATCCGACAGGCACTGAAAACAGCGTGTATAGTTCAATTACTGTATCTGCCATTTCCCTATACACGAAACCTCGATTAGCAGGTTGACCCATATCAAGAAACCCGTTATTTTCGCACAAATAAATTCATACATTTTCTTACTTAAAATTGCAAGAGCAGGAAATTTATTTTCCACGCTCCTTAAATTGAGTAATATTTTTTACTTGAGCAAAGCGCGGTTTTTGTATCTGCAAAAAATTCGATAATTTAAATAACTTCAATAACAGCTGACCCAACACTGCACTAAATTGGAAAGTCAGGTTCAGCAATTCCTCGGCAGAAAATGACAATTATCCAACATGGACTTTGAAAAAATCTTACTGAATGAATGAAGAAAAAACTTTACAAAAATTCTCAGAATATATATAGTAACCTGTTGCTAGTCGAGACGAGATCGTGTTGAAGGAATGGACCCTGTGGTAGCATTTGGAAGAAGGCGAATTTCCGGTCGCTTGCTGCTGGTGAGTCGACAACAGCCTTCCATTATTTGACCTATAAGTTGATGGCACATCCGGTTGATCAGTCCTTCTCACATAAAGTCCACGGTGTCCAACATACGGAGTTGCCACCAGAACGACCAATTTCTCCAGCTCCAGTTGATCCTTTGTTGGGAAAGTGCTCACGTCCCTCACTCCCTATATATATATATATTTGCGATTGGCAACAATATGGCACATAAGAGTTGAATCAGAATAGAGTCGAACCTCTACAAGTCGAATTTCAAGGGACCAGGGACAAAATTTGAGCTATTTGGTATGGGTTGCGAGTTATTCAGAAGCACGCATTTTTTTGTTTGTTTGATGAAACAAAGAAAAATTGCAGGAAATTGTAAATGATGATGTTCTGGGCCTTAAATTGCTGCTGAAATGAGTTGATCAGCATCCTGTCATTTGCCCAATTAGTCACTTACTTCCTTTCAAAGCACATTGTTACTTTTCATTGATTTTGTTTTCTTCCTGTGTCAAGAAAATAATAGCCAGAAGTCCTCAGAAAATTTCAGTTACAGAGACATGAGAGGAAAAGTCATTGAGTTAGAGAGGTTTTCAATGCATTGTTTGGGAACTTGAAAAAATTTGGACTCGCAGGGAGGTACATATTTGATTTACAGGGAGACTCGATCTATCATTGCTGTACAACTGTACAATGTAAATTTGTTCTGGTCTTTCTCGCAATAATGCATTCATGTCTGGCATGGATTCCTATAGACACCACTTAACTTATCACGAAAAGGATGCAGAACAACTCATGCTCTCGCGTTCAACAAAGCAAAACAGGACCTATCATAGATCGACCGCGTTGGCACTAGATGTCACTCTAAATCAACCTCACCAAAACAGAAGCTCTTTACATTCCTCAAACATCTGGATGTCTCATTCTTATTCCTAAATTCTGAAAAGTATAGTTCTTCATATACTGTGCTCTCCTAATTCATTCTTTGTACGTTCTAAGAAAAATTTATCGTTACAATTGATCACGGTTTTCGTCGTGCCGTTTCAAAACTTGTAGTGAGCACAAAAACGTGGCATATTTATCAAGAAGCATTCTGTATAGCTGTATGAAACCGCCCTATTTATTGTGTGGAAATAAAATAACGAAATCGAATCTAAAATTTAGGCGACATCTGTACAATACTGCAATGTCATAGGATGTATCGAAGACTCCCTAAGGGTTCAGGCGAGTGGAGGAAACAATTCATAAATGAATGATACGTACGAATCAATAAATTGGTAAGCTGGGAAATATTTGAGGCACGGCATATTTTTTAAACAATGACTTTTAAAGTTGGGGAGTCAAAAGTTAGACTTTGAAAAGGTGCGATTATTCTGAAAGCCATTCATCAGGAAGTCAGCGTGAATTATTATTTTGTTGCTGTTTTGGGCTTCTTTTCAGTTCATTTAAAATTTTACGGATCAACAAATTCGCTTGCCTGTAAAATCAAAAGCATTTGTTGTATGGCTCCGGAGTTGGTTCTCGAAATCCCAGGGATCCTTTGTTTGACGTCAAAATTTCCGAACCCGGTTTTGCCTTTAGCACAATTTGTCCCCGAACGAGCATTTTGCTTCGATTCTGTGCCAAATTCCGTGCCGCTTTCTTCACTAATAGTCCCATCGATTTGGTGGCTGTTCGGCACATTCTTCAGGTGTTCTATGGCTTCCTTCAAAGGTATTTTCAGCACAACGTGGTTTCTGAAAGCTACCAACGTCGTTTCCCGGATCGTGAGCCTCTGTGTCTATAGAAAGTTAGAAACACTTTCAAGCTTTTCAGTTTCATTGAGGGATTTAATCATGATGATTTTAATGAATAATCAGCGTTTCAGTATCTCCAAATGCTTAATTATTGTCAATTATTAGGAGTTATTGATATGATGATACTATCATTTCTTGATGCTTTTCTTCATGAAATGTGTTATGTAGAGTTTCTAAATACAGTATTAGTAAACTAATTGTACAGTACAGTATATCAAATAAATCAGCAATGGTATTGATATTGACTGCAAGAGGTATCCGGCTTTTTTCTTAGTTACACAAAGATTTTCATATGGTCACAGCGGACCTGAAAAATCTCAATAAAGTTCGAAAGACACCCGTAAAAAGAAATTGTCTCCATTGTAAATCGAATGAAAGGGTTCTTCTGAATTCATTGCAAGGAGAATAGGTCAATCTTTCAAATGGATGAAGCCATATACAATATTTCCGGAAATTTTCCGACTCACCTTTATGCTCACGAAAATGGCCTCTAAATATGGTAGAACAGTGCGGTAGAAGTTGATCCAAGTAGCCGCCAAACGGTCCATCATGGCTGTGACTGTTTCTTGGACAGTTCCAAGCTGAACAGGAGCGACACCTGTTCCGTTGCTGAGAGTTTGATTATCGTATCCTAGTACACCGTTCCGTAGAGTGGCCATTCCTTGCGGGAGCAGACGGTCACGGTAATAATCACCTATTAATTACACGAAAAAACCAACGCAGAGAAGTTGAATATTTCGTCTCTAACCTAAAAAGCTCAGACTCTTTATCTGATTGCACGATGATGATCATTCGGTTTTTCAAAAAAAACTCGTAATTTTTAAGGATAAAGAGAGAGAGGGTCAGATTTTTCGCAGCATATAGAAGAGTTAAATGCTTGTGTCGGGGAGTCGGGCACACATTTTTCTGATCAAAAGGGTATCATGGTTAATTTTCAAAAGTCCGTTTATTATTTCCAATGGAAGTACACAGCAAGAGAGAAATACCGATCTATTTTGAAAGTGTTTGAATACTGCTAAATGGTCATTATTCAGGCTTTTTTGGATCAAGAAACTCTCAGATAACGGTGAAGAAAATGAAGGTATAACTAAAGTTTCTTCAATATGAATCGACAATATTCTTGTTTATTTAATTTTTCCTGCACCAAAACAAATCTAAAAGCGTTTTTCAATCGATGAAGTCTCACACGATTCAGTGAACGCTTTTCCAACAATAAAATAAGCGTCTTACCTATCAGTGGTCCAAAGGCAGATGCACTGAGCTGCCTCAGCACTGTCTGCAATTCATGGAGACGGCCCTCGGCCATTTTTTGACCTGACATCAGACCTTTGACCGCTGTGTCAATTTCCCGCCAGGCCGGGGGTTTCGACTTTTCGCCATCTCCTGCCTTCGGCGACGATGAGGCCGAAGGCGAAACTCTGACCAAGTAACTCTGCAGGTTGAAGGCACTGGGAATAAATGGAAAAAGGAAAAAAACTCATTAAATTTTTTTGAAAGGTAAAGAGTATCTCGAACATGATGCCACTGATGCGTTGCGCATTAATTGTAGAGATTTTTAAATAGATGAAGTCGGACCTCTTCAAGCCGGACGCATTCCTGGAGGATTCGAAATTTCAGTTTTTCTGTGCGGAATTTTTCTTTTGAAAGCTGGAACACCTAAAACAAGCACAATATTTGCAAAAAATTGAACAGCAATCGGCGCGTCTCTAGACGCGCCTACAGCTGCAAACCATCCCTTTGACAGGGCAACAAAATTAAAACTCAACAACTCGGCAGAAACTGCCAACAATAAAACATAAACCCATCCCTGGGCCAACGACTTCAAGCAAGGGGTCAAATGACCCCTCAATCCTGCCAATTTTCAAGGAGTTCGAATAACCTAAAAAGGAGGGAAGACCAGACTTTTCCAGCTGCTGGTTGCTCAAAACACCAAGATCATTTTTTGTCTTGAAATCTAAAACGTTTTACAGCCAAGAAAACATATCCCTTGGACACTTAAAACAATTTGTCCCCGTCTCCCCAAACATGCGCAGTCCTCGACAATCCTTCCCAATTTGAAAAACACCCCGTGTTCCGGAAAACCATTTTTTCTAAAAACTCTGAGGTTCTTGAAAAACACCACCACCTGGTGTTTTATGCCTACCCCAGAACCCAACACCTGGGACACCCTGACAACACTATGTACCCTCCCCCGTTTTTTCAAGTATAAAACCCCCAAAAAAATCACGCAACGTGGCCAGTCAAACCAAAAATGTCAGAGAGTTACTCTGTGTGCTTTGATATTTGGAAACTTTTCAAACTTAGGAGACCCCTCTTATTTTTTTGGAGATTGTGCAGACACTAGAGTCCAAATCTGGAATTAGTCTTGTGTCTTTTCCTCAAAACCTTCTGATAAAATCTTGAGCTCAAACGCAAACGTTTTGTGGTTGTCTCTGACACAGCTAATGCAATTATTTATTTATGCTGTTTCTGTATTCAAAACCCAGCCTCTGGGACACCCTGAAAATACAATGTACCCCGCTCCTTCGTTTTTGTATACAACCCCTGATTTGTTTGTGCTGACAGTCAGTCAAATTTTTACCTCAAAGTGTTGCGTCGTATACGGGAATTTTTGTACTTTGTGGAAAAACGTCACTCTTTTATTTTTTCAAGTACCAAAAACTTGCTAATTTGTGTGTGTGTGTGAAATTGCTGTTGTGAATATTTGTTTTGATACTTGTTGAACTGCTAAAACAAAGGTTTGCGCTGTTTGGGAGAGAATCCCTGGTCGGTTCGCGCACCAGCCAATTGTGGTGTTGAAATTCATTTTTCCTAAATCTCCAAAAGACTCAGTCACCTAAAAATCTTGTTTTATCAATCTAATCCTCATTTGTCTACTAGACCTAATTTGATTACATTAATTTCAAACAAGGTGTATGGCTTGAAATATTTCTTCTTATAAAACCGTACATTTTCCGCGGCCTATACGCATTTTTTTTTATTACCCTAGGAAACTCTGTGCTCAATAGCAGATGAGTAAAGCAGCCTATGTTAGTAGTATGCAGCCTATCTGTAAGTACAGTGATGCCTCAATACGTCGCGGACACTCCAACATATGGACAAGTCAACTTAGGGACACTTGAAAACCAGAAAAATCAGGCCCAACATTTGTACATTGGGTTGAGTTAGGGACACTTTTCTGAGATTTTCCCAAAAAATCAAAGCATTTTTTTCACTTTGATATCTTTTGAACAAATCAAGCTATTTATATTTAAAAAAAATTTTCATGAAAAATTCACTATAATTCATAATCAAAAGCAAGCCAATTTTGTGCTCCTTTTTTCAGAGTTTTTCCTATCATCCGTGCATATTCTGGCAAGACTTATTCCTTTTCTTTGCCTTTTTGATCTCTTTTTGATACTAAAATATCAGATTCTATGTGGATTTAGAGAAAAATCAGGCCCGACATCAGGATATTGGCTCAAGTTAGGGACGCTTTCCTTAAATTTTCCCAAAAATTGAAGCATTTTGTTTTTTTTAGTTTTTAAATCTTTTGTAAAAATCAAGCTATTTATATTGACAAACATTTTAAAAATATGTCATGATAAATTCGCTCAATTTCATGATCAAAAGCATGCAAGCTGATTTTTTTCTTATTTTTCCTATAATCTTTGCACATTCTAGCAAAATTTTATTCTTTTTCTTTGCTTTTTGATTGCCTTTTGATACAAAAAGATCAGATTCAATGTGGTTTTATTCTGCACTGTTGTTTTCTACAACTTGAAGGTGGGGGAAACAATTTTTTTATAAAGTTTGGAGGAGTTATTTCTAATTTTTTACAAAAAGGAGAACCAATTAAATACATTAGCAATGAAGTCCAAGGGAAAATGAGACTTGACATTGGGACATTCCAACATCAGGACACTCTTGATGCACCAATTACATCTGCATCTTGGGGTCTCACTGTAAATATACATCTTGGTACTGTATATATACATAATCTGATCCGAATCAAGCTCACTGTACCGCGCTTTTATAATACACTTCGAAAATGAATACAACTTCATATTTAGTGCTTCAGCAGTGACACAACACAGAAAAGTAGTGCTGTTGGATCTTGAAGGGGGGAAAAACACAGGACAACCCGCTTCACTCGCTTTTCAACTACTGTCTGAAGGACGATGCAATCTGCTTCAGCAGCATATCCAATGTAACAGAAACACCTCTTTTTTCCCCTTGATATGCGAGCTCATCCTTAAAGCAACAAGAGATAGCATAATGCTAATACAGTATCGTCTGTCGCGCCGGGATTCCTCACGCTTCAATGATTATAGATATCTAATCACGGAGTGACTCTGGTAAATTGTGGAAGCTTGATCGAATTATTTTATGGATGATCATGCTTGTAAAGGTGCTGAGGTGTTTCCTTGGAATATTATTCTTTCGTTATAAAAATCAGAGAAATATTTCCTGTTGCGGATAATTATAGAAACGTACGCGTATCAATAACCTTCTCAAATAGAGCGCTGGATTACTGCAATCGCTGCTGTTATGCCCTTTGCCTAAATATCAAAATACCGTGGATGATTAGAAACAATCGGAAACCTTCCTTCAACAACTGCTGAACGTATACCAGCAATTATCCAGCGTACCAAAAGAGGGATGACAAAAATTGCCTAGAGTTTTCAAGAGCATAAGCCTGGTTAATTTTAAATTCGGGAGAAACATAGCAGACTGAAATGAAAAAAAAAATCGTCCACGTTCTCTATGCCCTTTTGATGACATTTAGTTAACACTTCCACTATATTGATGAATTTTCACTTCGACGGGCTCCGGATGATTCAAGTGCTGGTTATGCATCAGGAACAAAATAAAAGATAGGATGACTCGTAGTTTAACGCGAAATATCGTTGCTTCTCAGATTTTTTATGTTCATGTAGGTGTCGCTGATACGATGCGATGTTTCTTGCGTTGAACTTGACAAGGCTGATGACTGTTGGCTTCTGGGCGTTCTGGCTGGCGGCAAGAGCCTAAACCGAACAATTTTGAGCACTCGATTGAAAAGTAAATAAACAATTAGTCACAACGTTGCAAAAATTTTGAAGTAACCTTGTATATGTTTTAGCAATTTTTCATCTCAACTACCGCATGCTTGAGTGCCACACGCACATTTTTTTTTCTCAAAATTAAGAGGGCGAAGACGTCATACGCGGGGATACAATTTTTCAATTTTTATTTAGAACTTTCGATCCGCGTAACACGTTTTTGACAGAAACTTTTTAAAATCGAAACAATTGAAAATTGACTGGATTCAAGTTGAATTCATGGTCAAACTAAAATTCGATCGGATCTTATCTTTGAAACATATTGCAGTTTTCCAGTTTTTAAAATTGGCATCCGTAGAATTACTATCAAGGGATAGCATTTCAAGAAAATTTAAATGTGAGAAATTGGGTTTCATGTATTTTACTTGGGGGTTGGGTACTTGGGTGGTATATTCAAGTAAACACAGTTAATATTTGTCGAGGGTTCTCTGTGACCCTCAATGAGACACGTGTCTCATCTGGTAAATTAAAAATGTATCACAAATGCATACTTTAGATCAGTGGTGCCCAACTCAGAAGTGGCCAAGGGCCGCATTGAAGTAGAAGAGCGTTATGTGGGCCACAATGGAAAAAAGGCACAAGAAATGTTGACCAGTACATTTGGTAATTCAAGAATTTCTGGGATGGTTGAAACTATTCTACAGTATAATAAATCAAGTTTATATATATATATATAAGGAGTGACGAAAACGTATTCTGCTGCGATCCCCTCAATAATTCGGGTATTTTGCCGGGGCATGCGCCAGCAGCCAAATCTCGTGTTTTTCATTCAAGAATTGAGCCCTCTTATATTGCCTGCAAGTACGCTGCAAATTTGTGCCCTGTCCCTTCCGGAGAATAAAGTCAGAGTTTAAAATCATCATCATCATCAGCATCGTCCAGCATAATAATAAGTCATCTTGCAATGCACTTAGGCTGCATTTGCGTTCACTATATTGCTGATACGTGTGGTATGCATACGTAATACAAAAATAATACTGTACAGTATGCACGCATCAGCACGCATATACAGTTTACACGTACGTAGTTGAACATGCTGCTGGGCTTCTCACTCTGTGAGAAATTTATTCTTTCAGAATTGAAGAATCCCCCGTGACTTCGGGGGGAATGACCGGATTGTTGGATGCATGGCACAGCACGGGGAATTGACAAACTGTATATACAGAGCTGTGCCAATGTATGAGTGACTCATCGCGCGCGGGCAGCGAGACATCGGCTATTACGGCCACTATACCGCTGCTGTTGATGATGATGACTTTTGAAGTACAGTACTGTACAAGGCCAGATGAGTAATAGTGAATATAGCCCGTTTCTGAAACGCCGTTCGTGCATAAACGAACGAGTATGTACAGTATATAATGACTATACATTGTGGTGCGTGTGATTTCGGCTCCACAATGTCCCCGTTCTTATTGAGTGCATATATATGAGTACAGTACTGTACATGCACAAGCTGTATACTGTACTGTATATGTGCTGTGTTATTGTCCTCCGTCCCCCGCGCATTCCTCCCGCGCCTTTCCCCCGCCATCAAGCAGCTGCACTTCCTCCGCGTGCATATATATACTGTAGTCAAGTACAGTTTTAAAAAAATAAAAATAAAAAAAAAACAGAATACTGTATGATCGAATGCCAAGTCCTCCAATTGGGTGGTTATTCATGGGGTTTAGCCCGGAAAATTGGCATTCCTGCCGCATATATTCGCGAAAATGTCCGCCTGGTTTTGATTGATTGACAGACAGACAAACCATAGACACGACTTCCACCAAATGTACAATCGAGTATATTTATTCATGTACGGTGTATATACACACGCAGATAAAATGGGGGAAAATAATGGGGAAAGGGTCGAGGGCGGGGGATGAGAGGATCGAGTGTGGTACACACAGTACAGTACAGTAATATGCGTCGTAATAAGGAGGATTTCTGCAGTTGTTTCTCTTCTTTCTTTCTTTCTTTCTTTCTTTCTTTCTTTCTTTCCTGTCCTTTGCACAGTTAAACTGACGGGTGCATTTAAACTGGACAACAGTATAGAGTATTATTATATGAAAATTGCAGGTCGCCGGGATTGTCGGCAGAGCAGACACGCTGGCTTGTCTGTTTTTCCTCTCGAGTTTCCTGCTGTATCACAAGTGAGTATGCAGCTGATGCTTCAAACTCGTCTTTTTTTCTTTTTTCTTTTTTTTTTAAATCCGCCTATACTGTATACTGTACTGCACTGCATGTATACTTGCAGCACTATGATAATTCACATCTATACTGCTGTGATTTGATTTCGAGAGTTGATATGTGCTAGCTTATAGTGCTGTACAGTACGTGTTTGATTCTGCAGTGTTATACAGTATATATACACAAATACACCCCGAGTATTATTATTATTATCATTATCATTATAATTATTCTACTCCTGTGCCTGTACTGTATGTATAGGTACTTGATGAGTGGACTCGCTTGGCAACTGGGCCTGAGCCTGGCAGCCAGCGTGCTGTCCATGCTGAGCAAGGAGCACGGGATCACGGTGCTGGCAGTCATGGCCCTGCACGACTGGCATCAGCGCCGCTTTCAAGTGCAAGCAGTTCAGCATTCAATCAGCCGCACCAATACCAATGCCAACACCAAGAGCGTCATCAGTAGCAACGTCGTCGTTGTTCCCATCACCAATGGTATCGGTCGGGCTCGACAGCAGGGCTGTGATGCTTCGGGTGACGGTGCCGCCGTGGATGCAGGTTCCTCTTCTTTGTCGTCGTCGTCGTCGTCGTCGTGCACGCCAAACAGCACCAGCTTCTACGCCAGAATGGCCCCCATCGCACTGACGGTGAGTGAGCAATAAAATACTCTAATGCCATGAAATCATAAGGTATATACAGTATATAGGCGAGACGAATGTCATAGGATGCATGCATGCATTATTCATTCATTCATTCATTCATTGGTTGTCAATAGCCATATAGAGACAGCTGTATATAGTACGTAAAAAAAAAAATGTATTTACAATCCGCTGCATAATATAATGAAGTGAAGAATTCATCGTCGCCCCTCCGGAAGCTGTTTTTGCACGATTCTTGGCATTTATTGCACACTAGTGTACGCCGCTTTTCGTGCTGTAAAATATACTGTATTTGAGAAAGCACTGTACAAGTGAGTCAGTATGCGGCGGCAGCACTGTGGATATAGACTTTATACATACGCATGCAGTAGGCGGGAGTTGGCGACGATGCAAGATTTTTCAAGTGAAAGGGCAGTATATGTCAGAAGAGGTGCTGTACAGCAGTACATAGCAGGCCAATTAATGGGAAGGGCCCTTCCTAAATACTGTACTGTATAGCTCCTCCTTCGTAGGATTGCTGCGTTGTTGTGTTATGCGTCCGTGCAGAGCAGACTACTTGACTCGCCTGCTGATGCTGAAGTAACCAAGCACAGTACAGTACTTAATTTACGCCAGAGTTCTTAGACTTCTATAGTGATGAGTGCTGGTCCGTCCTCGTTATTAATCCCGCATCACGATGTACTCTGCTCCTGAGTAATACACGGCCCGACAGTATACCGTTCCTTTATTCTGCCATATACATCAGTATGCACTATGGACTATGCAGTCTTATATACTGTATGCAATTGTGTACGATAGCACGGAAGCAGGCGGAACAACACCACTTTCCTATAGACTGGAGTAAGTTGATTCTCTTCATCAGCACAGTCGTCGACGGCTTTATTACACGCCGAACCCCTATACCAGTGGTGCCCAACTCAGAAGTGGCCAAGGGCCACATTGAAGTAGAAGAGCGTTATGTGGGCCACAATGGAAAAAAGGCACAAGAAATGTTGACCAGTACATTTGGTAATTCAAGAATTTCTGGGATGGTTGAAACTATTCTACAGTATAATAAATCAAGTTTTAGTCTATAATCAAGTTCAATAAGTATTTCAAGATTTTTGTTTTCTGGCAATTTGGCTTTTATCATCTACAAACTTTTTTGCTTCCTTTTTACTGATACAGTTAAATTTGTATCTTCATTACTTTATGACTGGATTTTTGTCAATGGAATCATAGAAATCAATCTGCATAACTTTTCAATGATTCAACTCAAGTCCAAAAGCAATAAGTAACTAAAAATTATGAGTGAATTTAAATGTTGAGAATAATTTTTGGCTGAAACAAAAATAAAAGCCTGTGTTTCAGAAATTGCCTAATGTGGAGAAAATATGGTCTCTATAATGATTTTATAGAATGAATAACCTGTAAGAATTCAAAAAATGGGTCTTCATGCAAAGAAAACATTCATTCCACCTCCCAACACATAAAATGTTCATGGCCTTTTAGGGATATTCAAAACCAGGATATGTGTTTTGCATCACATTTAGGTAATTGTTGGGGGTTTTTTGTGAGTTTTAGTCAATCACTGAGCCATCATCTGCAAATTGAATCATGCTAAAGCCAAAAAATAAAATTAAACACAATATAAAAAATGTGGTGTACAGAGTTGAGGGGGGGGGGGGGGGGGGACCTGGGGACAACCTGAAATTTTAGTGCAATTGAAAACTCCTCAAGATTCACTAAGAATCTGGAGAAAGCCAGAAAATAAGTGTATAAGAGAGAAACATATTTTGTGCAGAGTTGCTTTGGGAGAGCATCAAATTATTTTAGTATCTAAATGTCCAGGTCTTTAAGTGTCCCTGTCACTAAATCAACCTGTCTCAAATTGGCCCTCTTCTAAAATTGGTCCTGTCTCACATTGTCCCTGTCTCAAATTGGCCCTGATTCAAATTTTCCATCTCAATTGGCCTTGTGTTGAACTGTCTTTCTGAATTTGTCCACATCCATTCACATTTGCATTTTTACATGATGGTCTACTTTTGGTCATGCTATTTAAAAAATTAAGCTGCTGTATATCTTTCCCTTATCAAGAAATGCAATTAAATTAAAAACACAACAGAAAATGCTGAGATAGGATTTGCATTCCAAAATTGCAAAACCCTGCCCTTTAATCTGAATAACAGAACATCACAAATCAATGCAAAATGTTCTTTCTTATTAGGGGAATCATTGCAGAATTTATAGTGAAGCCCTAATAAAATTCCTAATCAAAATTGCAGACTGAAGACATCCTGAAAAACTTGCAATTTTTACTTTTTGAGGGTCTTAATTTTTGTGTGGTGATTTACCATGCTGGCTCTGCTGGCCAGATGAAAAGCCTCCGCGGGACAGATCTGGCCCGCGGGCCGTATCTTGGGCACCCCTGCTTTAGATTATTTATGATTTTGATAAGTTGTGCATCAGGATATCGACTAAAGCTTCAAGTGGCCCTTAAATCAAGATTTTGGAAAACATTTGATCCATCCTCGCGTATATACCGTAATCATTGTCCGAATATATCGCCCAACGTCAAACCTTCGCGACAAACCACGCACAAGGGGAACCCACCTCAGGTTTCGCTTGGTCCTGGACCGGGCCAGCTGGCTCTGATGGGACACTCCGACGGAGGCCAGCATGAGGCCAGCTCTGGCCGACTCCTGCGTTGCGGAACTCGTCCTTCGTCGACCCAACTGCGCCATGGGCACTGATAAAAAACGGGCCGGTTTCTGTGGTTGTTGTAGCTGCTGTTGTTCTTGTTCTTGTTGTTTGTGGTGCTGCTGCTGCTCTTCTCGTCCATGCTGTTCACGGAAGCAATTGTTGTTGCATTCCATGTCATCGTCGACGTTGCAGTGATCCTGGCTGTGAAGCAGTCAAAGTGAAACGAAAGAGGATGAGACCACGCACAGTACTTGAGCATGACAGTGTATATAGTACTGTACAATATTAAAAGCAGGCTTCGATCCCTTTTATAGAATTACCCAAGATCAAGTGAAAAGGTCATCGAATATATAAATGGATTCGAAATTGGCTTCCTTATTTGAGAGGAAACTCGAGTCAAATTTATATTTTTCTTAAAATATAGACTCCATATTTCAACTTCATAATTTTCTGCTCGGCTGTGTGTTTGCATATTGTATTAAAATTCCGGATTTGCGAAGATGCTCGAAGAATTACACTGTGTATGAGATAACTCTTTGACTTTCATTACAGATTGGGCAATGCATGCATATTCGTAAATATCCATCTTCATCCAAATCAGCATGAGTCACGTTTATGAGTAATTCAGCTTACATTTGATAATTGCAGGTGAAAATGACAAAGAAATAATTATTGTACTAACTTTGCAGCCATTTCCAAGCTGTTCGATGTTTTCAGCGGCATCTAGATAATTTCTTCAACAGCTGCCTCGATCGTGAACACTTTTTTTTTCAGAAAATTTTATAAAGTTGAGGTTCTTCTGACACTGATTTATTCGAGGAGAAATTTATGATGTCATGAAAAAAAACCAAGACTCGTCAATCGAAAACTGCACTTTTTTGTAGAAAGTACTTGTAACGATTTAATCGGATAAAAATCAAATCGAAAGGCATATTTAACCAACTGAACTGCGGGAATTGTTCACTTCAAAGTATAGATGAGTCCAATGTTGTGCATGTACAGGACTTTATATCCAAACATCAGCGCAGCATTTTTTCAATAAAAAGCTGGATTCGAATCACTAAGATATTATGCCTGAATTGCTGGGATTAAATAAATGTTGAAAAGGTTTCGTAGGTAGAAATCTGATCAAGATACTGGGTGTCATTATTTTTGTGCGTCACTCTATGCATTTCTTGATAGCAATGATCCACGTAATGCCAATATTCGTTCAATACAGTACATGGATAATTAACCATTTAAAAAGTGTATCTTCTCGGAATCGAGGCAATAACATGATAAAGAATGCAAAGTTTTTAACGCTTTGCTGACTGGCCAAGAAGTAGTGATTGTTTTCGAAAATATTTCTCCATCGACACCAGTCACACGTTCACATTTTCAGGGAGACAGTGGAAGTTGTTTGCTGATGATGTTTTTAAAAATTAGTGACCAAAACATTTTCTTGAAAAAAAAAGAATGCTGCACTGCTTTGCTATCTATTTAGATGTCATTTCTTTTTAGTTCTGAAAATTTGTTTCTATATACACTACTGCCCTCTGGTGTTGGGCACCCACACCATGTAAATTAATATGTTATATAATAAAATCCTAGATATGAGAAGTAATTCCCCCTCCTCAAAACCGTAGCGTCCATTACAATATCTTTTCTCCTCTGATTTTGGAAGTAAAACCTATTGAAGTTTAAATGTAATTAGCAGTATAAAAGCAGCTCCTCTTTATATATTCATCATCAGTTTGTCAGTTGTGATTGATCATTCAAGTTATTCACTTATTCCTGCACATTGAGTTTGCTGAGTTTTTGCTGTTATTAAAGTTTATTCTGTGAAATACATTTACCCCTTTAACCCTTCTGCGGCAATGGGTTCTTTCCCATTGCGGGAAAACGTATGAATTTTCTTGGGTGGGCCCAGGTTTAAATTTTGTTGAAGGCCACAACAGCCAAGCCAGGTGGCCTAGGGCAAGGTTGGACTTTGTCTGGCAAAAATGTGTTGTTGTGATTTCCTGAAGTTGGACTTTTTCTGCCAATCTTTTGTGGCCTCTAAATGGTAACCCTTCTTCTGGTGCCCAAAATGAAGGGGCCAAGAAGCTGATAGTAATAAAACTAATTCAGGGATGAGATAAAAAAAAAAAAGCTCAGCCTTGGAGATGGATTTTTTTCATTTTTTGGCAAAATTTTTCTGCAGTATTTAAAAAATATGCCAGGATTTTTCCCAAATTTGCTCTGGATGCACAGTTGTGAATTTATTTAAAAGGTTCTCTTACTGACACCAAATTTTGTTGAAAAAGTTCAACTTTGGCGCCTGAGGGTTGAACTGGGAAACTCTTACAAGGAATTCCCAGTCCTGTCCTGGACTGATGGTTTGTGTTTCATTATATTCAATACTTGACACCAAATTATATTGAGTTGACTATTTTCCCCAATATCTGGACCTTGGGCAATTTTTTGGGAATGATAGGAAATTAAACATTGAAAGCTCAGTCCTCCACTCCTCCTATTTCATTCCAAGTGAAATTTCATTTGAAATGTCTTTCACAAAACACTGCAATCACTAAATTAGGAATTTCAGGCATTATACTGTATGTGAGTAGAACTGCAGGTTTGGCGAATAATAAAGTTTATATACCATATTTACTTGAGTACCACCCGCACCTTTTTTCCCAAATTTCAGAAGAAAAAAAGGGGTGCGCGTCATAAGCAGGTACAAAAATTTCAAGAAGTTTTAGGAAGTTATGTGTGTATTATAATTATTTATAAGGGAGAAAATTGGAACAAATGTAAGAAGAAAACATTTTTGTACTGAAAAAGTTGGAAATTGATCAGATTTTTGTTCAATTCACACCTAAAGTCAAATTTTTTGTTCTTATTTTTGAAATTTTATGGTTTTAGATTCACTAAAAATTGGGGTGCGCGTCTCACTTGGGGATAAGATTTTTGCAAAATTTTCAGCTGAAAACCCCCATGCGCGCCTTACTTGAGGGCGCGTGGTACTCAAGTAAATACGGTAATAAAATTCAGAAAATAATGGTCATTAGCATGAAGTTGCGGCTTTTTATCGCCAACGTTTCTCCGCATGAGAATAAATAACCACTGCTAAAATGTCACTCTAACGAAAATATTTTTTTCCACACGCCGCTTCCAATAATTTCTGTGTTTCCAAGAAGAATGTCGACACTCCGCTGGGATTAATAGAAGAATAATCAGCTCACCCAGGAGAGGCGTCGACGAGTAACCTGGGCACCGTTATTGTGATCCCAGGAGACTCAGGCGGGTCCAACGTCATCGTCGGTGTCGGTGACGATGATCCGGCGGGAAACTTGATTTTAGACGCTGACGATTCGTCAACACTGGCGACACTTCTTCTTCCCGTTTCGTCATTCATTCTTCCTCTTTTTTTTTGCCGAACTAAACGTTCTGCAGCTGACACCACTATTATATCTGCAAAAAAATAAGAAGAGACGAAGTCTTTCAATAAATACGAAACTGAAAGACATTTGCATACGTCGCGACTGGTAATTAAGTTCTTAAAAACATGTTTTTCTTTTTGAATATAGGAAAATGAATTCATTTACGAATAAAAAACAGGGCGCTTATTATACAGTGAAGAATTAAAAAAAAACATGGAATAGTTTTCAGACACATTTTACGGTAATGCTTCCGTTGATGGACTCAATCTGTTCCAATGGGAAGTGCTGTACATTAAATATACATTCTATCAACTGAGAAATGTTACGAAATATACAATTCTAATGTATTTTTATTGTTTGCAGGGTGACGGGAAGCTACGAATTATCGAATTTCGAGTGTGGTCCGATTTCCTTGTAAATTAGCTTACAAAGTTCTTGAATAAATTCTAAAAGAAATCAAATAATCGATAAAAAGTATCATAGCAAAGGTTGAAAATATTCAACTTTATCAAGAATTCTAAAAAAAAAAGTTGCTGAGTCCAGAAAATATGCTCGCATACACCAGCCGATCTATTTCCCATACCGATTCAATTTTTTTTCACAAATACTGTACTCTGCATAATGATGTTTATTCTTCGAAGCAGTTTCGATCATGCAAAAAATGTGGAAATCCAACATGATCGAAGGAAAAATTTGCTTACGCGTCCGTGAAAAAGACAACAATGCATTTGCACATTATTTCGTTGCATAATTATATCCCTTCTGAATAAAAAGCAGGACTAGCAAATTAATGCAAAATTCCGAACAAATCCAAATATTTTCAGCGAGTCAGAAAAACTTCAAAGAAATAGAAAAGAGAGTCATCTGAACGACGGGTCCTTACTGAAAATCCGAAATACGAACAGAAACTTTTTTCAAGCTTTTTTTTCGAAAACGAGTACATCTGAAACGCGAATTTATCAGTTTGTGACAAAATTCATTACTGTATAAATTACGGAAAATGACAAAAAATGTTATTCAGCGATCAGCAGCAACATGACGTAATTTCGTCCCCAAAATGTTATTCGACAGCAACACTTGATTCCGTCACCCTGTTTCATTATCTCAAAGCTCAAACTCATGTAAATTTATAAAATACAGTATTCCATAAAAATTATTAAGAAAACACGAGTCGTATGCGAACTTCCAAGAATTATAGTCGTGGTCATCGTGAGGTTCAGCGAAACGAGTCGTTTATATCTGCAAGGATATTTCTGGACCCAGATTTGGCCAAAGTAAATTGTCACACGAGTACACACGACTCTAATTAAACCAAGTACAGTTGCGGTGGCCCATCTTGACGCATTTTCTTACAGAACAACTGTTGCAGAAATAAATTCATTCATGCACGAGAGAACAAGGCTTTTGAAGTCACTGTTTGCAACAAAAGCTTGTGCATCAGTGAAATCAGAATCAGGCATGAAGGTTTTCCAGATTATTATCACAAACGAAAAAAGTTAGGTTCAGAATCTCAAGATCTGTAAGTTGGATCAATTTTTATATGATCATAGAAAAATTAGAGAACATCTTTAGCTTTAATTAAAAACATTGTGGCATTTTTTATGTGAAAATTGTGTGGAGTTATTTGCTTTGGACGTTTGTGTGTTGGGAATTACACCATACGCTATGAGCATGTTTTCTTTCCTGATTTTATTTATTTCTGGAAGCAAGTTTTCATTCCACAATACTGCAAGATTTTATTTACTGATTCTGTGTGTGGTTTTTTTAATTTTGATACCAGTGATCAGGGAAAATAATAAATTTTGTGTGTGGGGAATTGCACCATATGCTAAGCATATTTTCTTCGCTGATTTTATTCATTTCTGGAAGCACGTTTTTATTCCAAAATACTGCGAAATTGTATTTGCTGATTGTGTGTGCGGTTGTTTATTTTAATAACTGTGATCAGAGCCAATGATAAATCGTCTTTCACCATCCAAGAAGTGTGGATGATTCAGCTTCCTTTTTTTTTTGCAGCCATAAATTTAGATTTACACTTGAAATTAAAATCTCTTGGAGGCTGGGTAACTGCCTCAGCACTCAGACGTCTCTTGCATCTGGAATGTGTTTTTTGCAGCTTAAAATCTGTAATAAATAACCAATGATTTCAACAAATTGCTAAAACGTTCACTATGCAAAACAAAAATAAACAAGTACGGTATATTGTGCAAGTTAAAAAATATTAAAATGATATACAAAGGTGTAATTTGTAGCACAAATAAAAATCCAGCAGGGATCCGTTAAGAAAGTCTTGTTGTTAGACGTTTCCCCAGCACGTCAGTGTCACTGCAAATGAAGATAAAAGAACCCAACTGCGTCACTTGACAATGAACAGCAGGGGTGAAGATAAGTTTGCGGTTGTGGGTTCAAAATGTCGAGTCATTTCCGGGCTGCACAAACATCTGATTAGTTTAGGCACTGTATACATCTTACGAATTTCTCGGAAGAAGCAGGGCACGAAAAATTGAAAAATATTGACAAATAAAATACTGCCGTATTTCATTCCGATGAATAAGTGAAAAGTCAGATAATAATTCGAGATTTGCACTGATGCTTTCTACAACAAAAATGATGAATTGTCTAGCAGCAAATGAATTTGCTGCTTTTAAAAAATCTTGCTGCAACAAAAGGCTTTTCAAATTGCTGAAATATTCTCAAGTATTTTACGGATTTTTCAAACGAAACAATTCGTGTGTTTTTGAAACGACTCCTCAATGAATTGATTTGCCGCAAAGATTATATAGAAGAGTGAGTTATTTCCATCACAGTAAATTAATCTCTGGATTTATTCCACGTCAGATCATCTTCAAATAAATAAAAAAATTACTGATGTATAACATATTCTGTTCGACTAATTTCACCGTTTTGATTTTTGTAAGGAAAAATGAGTTTCTGTCGAAGTGAATTGCTATAGAAGCTTTAGATTCTGTACCAACGTGGGAAATTACCGAAATATCTGAAATTATTGTACACATTTTCAAAGAGAAGAATGCTGTGTTACGTGGAGAAATAAAAAGAAGTTGTACGAAAAAAACCCGTTTTTCTCATCCCATTCTTTTCGATTTTGTTTGACTGGCTTGGACTTACGAAATATATCTGGAAATGTTCTGCTGATCTTCCAATATAACCGCCGGAAAATGAAATACTCTCGATAAATATTTTCTGCCAGAAAAGCGATTCATCTCACCGTTCTTTCTTCAATATCTCCACGTAAATAGGATGAGACGTCGTCGAAGGATATTATTCCGATCTGCGCGAACGTAGGAAACCCGGGTTATTCGGGGGAAATGAACTGCTGTCGGCTCGACAGTGAGTGTCGACTGTCGACGTATCGTTCGTCGACGACGTTCGACGTCTATAGATCCGATGTCATTCGCACCATTCCATGACGTCACTGGGCTTTTAAAACACGTGCAAAATTCGACACTACATCGTCACGCCATTAAGGCTGCTGCATAAGTAAATTCCGCATTAACCGTTGCTTAAAACGCTACGTATACTTCTAGTCGAGGTGCCGCTTATTCATATATATATATATATCCCTCCCTTTACCAAAACCTTTGGTGTTCTAAAGACTAGGGAACGTTAAAAGAAAGGCTTTATACGTTGAGATGAATATGCGCGAACCATGAATAAATTAGGAATGAAAATTCGAAGAATATAAACGGGTCTATACTTCAGTTTAGATCACTTCTTCTCACGCCGCAGATTATTACTTCGGATAAATTATTCGATGCCACAAAAAATACTGCTGAACATTGATCTACATCAGCAGTGGAATTATAGCTGATTATCATGAGAACAAAATTATTTCTTGTAATGCTCGTATATATAGTAAGTGATTTGCATTTCTACGAGTTGAAGAGGGAAAGGCAGCAAACGGATTTATTTATTTTGTAAAATCAATGTACTCTGTCAAATAGAATACCGATTAACATAACCCCCATCTGGATCAGCGATTCATACAATTCCGCAATCCATTGATTCAAAAAAAGTACTGAAGTTGTCACACGGATTTTTAGCATATTGCAGACGCATTTTTATTGAAATTGTGTATGCCCTGCGGTCACCAGAAATAACGTTTCACTTCGTTCTTTATTTTTCAGTCAAAATGATTTAGATTCCCTTTCGACATTCCTTTTATACTAATAAATAATCCGGGATCAATAAGTATGCCATTTGCTCAACATGATCCCAATTCAAAGAAAAAAATGTAACCACAAATAACCGTAATTCTGGGTATTTTGAGTAAATTTGAAATTCCTTTTTGTTTCCACTTGTAAAATAATGCAATTCAATGGTATTATTATTGCAAATGATGGAACGGTTTCAACGTATATTTTATTAGCATGCAATTCGATAAACGAGTATAGAAAATTAACCAATTCTCTTCCGAATAATGATTCATTGGAGGCAGCACTTGCATTTCGAGATTTCTGTTTTCAAAAAGCAGTATTTTTTCATGCTCAAGAATCCGACTCCATTA